TGAGGATATCCGCAGTAAAACCAGAGTGACCGACGTAGCCCAACGGATTAGTAAGCTGAAGTGGCAACGGGCCGGTCATATAGTTCGAAGAACCGATAACCGATGGGGAAGAAAGGTTCTCGAGTGGCAGCCTCGTACCGGTGGGCGTAGTGTAGGGCAACTCCCCACTAGTTGGAGTGACGACCTGGTAAGATATGCAGGTAAGTCGTTGGATGCAGGTGGCTCAGGACCGTGCTTTGTGGCATTACTTGGGGGAGGCCTATGTTCAGCAGTGGACTTGTGAAGGGCTGTAATGATGATGATAATGATGAACTAAATATAAACATGTATTACAAAAATGATATGAATCAAATTGGAGTGATGAAATATTTATTATATCTTTGCAATAGTTGGTACTTTTTATGAAAAAGGATCACAGAAAATCACTTACAACCCCACCTCACAATATAAAATAGATAAAATAATTGACACTCGTTATTCAGGTAATAGAAAAGAAGTATTAGTGAAGTGGAAAGGTTATCCAGATAAATTTAACAGTTGGATCTTAGCTTTTAGTTTTAAAAAATATGAATAAAGAAAGATTTTATTTAACTTTGGTCAGCAATAGTTCAATGGAATACTTTCTTGATAACAAGACCACAAATTTTTCAACGAAATTACTAAAAACTATGAAATTAGAAGGTGAATGGTCGGTTGGAGTTGTCGAGTTTCAATATATATATTTATTATTTAATTAAAATCAATTCTGATATAGCAGTGATTTGCATATATCGATCTCCTTCTAATGAAAATATTAGTCCATTTCTATCTGCCTTAAACGATATACTCCTGTCACTCTCAAAATACAAAAATGTTATACTAATCGGAGACATTAACATTGATATTAAAACCTTCAATAACCACTCACACGAGTATCTAAATTGTCTTGCTTTTTTACGGGTTGTTACCTGCTCATACCTTCCCAACAAGAGGTAACAACTGCCTTGACCATACTTTTGTTCGATCTAAATTCCCAGTCTTAACTTTTGTACTTGATACAACTATCACCGATCACTACTCTTCAATCATATGTATCAAAACAAAAAATACATATCTCAAAACTCATAAGACAATCTCGAAAATAAACTATATAACATTAGACAAAACAATGGAGCAAATAGATCTTAAACCTATTCTAACACTCAATGATCCTAACATAGCAACGGATAGTTTTATACAGCTAATGTCTCAAGTTATACTCGATAATACGTACATTATCAAATTATCAGCAAAAAAAGAGGATACTCAAACCATGGATAACTCCAGGTTTATTAAGATGTATCCATAACAGAGACTCTTTACACAGAAAGTTAAAACAAGATCCAAACAATTTAACACTTGTTATAACATACAAAAGGTACCGGAATTTCTGTACAAAAATATTAAAAAAGGTAAAAAGGCAGTACAATTCGGAGCAAATAAAAAAGCAGGTAAAAACAGTTAAGATTTATGGAACACTATAAAGAATATCGCTTGTAACGAAAAAATCTCGAGAATCTACAGCACAGCAATTATTATCTTCTATCTCACCAATTCAGTCATGTAATAACGTTAATAAATTCTTTATCAACATCGGGAAGGAGCTAGCGCAAAAAAACACCAGCAATTGCGCAGCTCCACCAAAAGGAACCACCCTAGTAAAATCTAATCTGTCATCTTTTGTTTTAGAATGCACGGACACTGATGAAATTAAATTACTTATTAATTCGCTTAAACATAATGCAGCTACCGGATGGGATGAAATTTCACCGAGTTTTTTAAAACGATACTCCCCTATTCTCGCACCTATTTTAGCCCATATTTATAATCTCTGTCTTAGAATCTTCTGTCTTTCCTACCTCTTTCAAGAGGGCTATCATCCATCCAATTTTCAAGAGTGGTGATGGGAATCTCATTAATAATTATCGCCCCATTGCGGTGCTTAGTGCTTTATCAAAGGTTTTGGAACGTTTAGTCAACAGGCGACCAGCAAAGTATCTGGAGCACTGTAATATAATCTCTTCCCAACAGTTTGGATTTCGTAAAAATAAATCCACTTCTGACGCTATTCACGAATTAACTACTTTCGTTAAATAAGCTTAACGACAACAAAAAAGTCCTTACAATATTTTTGGACTTAGCTAAGGCTTTTGATACGGTTCCCATCAATACTCTCTTATTAAAACTAGAAAATATAGGTATCAGGGGTTCTCAACTTGATTTTTTCCGTAGCTACCTTTCAGATCGGACTCAAAGGGTAAAGATAGGCAACTATACTTACGGTGTGCCCCAGGGTAGTATACTCGGACCAACTCTCTTCTTGATATTCATTAACGACCTCTGTAATATTAAAGTCAATAACTCTAAGATAGTTTCATATGCTGATGACACCGCCCTTACCTTCTTTGCAGGTACTTGGACTGAACTCCAAGAAATTGCGCAAAGTGGCTTTAATATTACATATGATTGGTTTCGTGCACATACCCTTACCTTAAACACAGCAAAAACTAAATTCGTTGCTTTTTCTATCTCTACAAAATCACAACCTAAAATTCCAGTAAAATTAATAGCCCACTCATGCCATTACCAATATCAACAAGCTTGCCACTGTCCCCTTGTTAATTCGGTCGACACAGTCAAATATCTTGGCATAACTCTAGATAAAACCCTAAATTTTAAAGTCCGCATTGAAGATTTAATCAGCAGAGTCCGTAAATTAATCTTTATTTTCAAATCACTTCGTCACGTCACTAATCAGAGTATCATACGCAACGTTTATTTTGCACTTTGCCTTTCTATCATATCTTACTGCATTTCATGTTGGGGTGGTGCCGCAAAAACTATCTTGAAACCTTTAGAAATCGCACACAGATCAATTTTAAAGATCATGGCCTTTCGACCCATATTATACCCGACAATTCAGCTCTACAAAGATCATAACGTTCTTAATGTAAGACAATTGTTTATACTACATACAGTGATGTTACAACATCGTAAGGTTCCTTATATCGAAATTACCAAGAGGCGTAAGGACAAAATCTGCAGTATTCCGACAGTCTCCTCTCATTTTGCGAAAAGGTTTTTCTCATATTTCGGTCCCTTTCTTTATATTATAATAAGATCAATTTTAATATTTCTATTTATGAACTATCTAATTACAAATGTAAGAAAGTCGTGTACTCCTTCCTACTAAACAAGAGTTATGAAGAGACAGAACAGTACTTATTAACTAACTAATTTATATTATATTAACATAATTATATTATGAGGTCACACACACACACGCACACACACACGCACACACACACGCACACACACACGCACTCTCTCTTTCACACACACACACACACACGTACACGCACATACACACACACACACACACACAAAATCTGTAGTACTAAAAAGTTAAGAGCAATTTTTGCTTTCTGATCACTTTTGTAAGGGGGGTAAGGGACTGAATCTCCTTAATACAGGCTATTTCTCAGTCTAGCAAGGAAAACAGAACGTCACCCTCACTAGTATTTTTGTAATGTATCTCATGTAAGATTTTTTTTATATGTACTACAAGTTAAAGTTTTTAAAAAATTATATATATATATATATATATATATATATATATATATATATATATATATATATATATATATTAAAAAACCATCCAGTATACTACAAAAAACATATTCCAGCTCCCAACTATGATAAAGTTGAGCATATTTTAAGAGCGTTAAATGGTATCGGAGAGAATTTGAAATTTCGCTATGATGAAATAACAAAATTTGTGTCTGTTTCTGTTTTGGATAAAAAAATATCATCCGTAACATTTTCACCCAAATTAAGTTTAGAACTAGGTTATGAACCAAACAGAAATATCCTATAGAGACATTTTGAAAAGTGACGATCACCTGCATGATCTAGAGTTTTTAAAAAAGAAATTCTAAAAGATGGGACTGGAATGTTGATAGGATTCAGAATAAGTGAACTACAGTTTGTGGTAAATATTGCTTAATATATTTGCTATATAAGTTTCAGGGATATTCAAAGCATAGTTTTACGAGCATATTTACAGGGAACACACTGCACAACGATATTTTAGTGGATGAGACGTTTCGCACCTATTTTAAAGATAATAATCACTAAAATTTTGGAAATAAAAATTGTAACAAAATTAATGCATATTTTCTATTGATGATTCAGAATAGCGTGGTAGTTATGAACAAAGAAGTATAATACAATACTGTGTATAACGAGTAATAGATAAGAGTGGCAATGACGGTGTTCAAGGAACATCAGATAATAGGAAAGGCTGAAGAATATAACGCTAATGAGGGTGCAGGCCTACCGGATATTAATTAGATATAAGTTAATTAATCAGCACTTCTCCGGAACCGCGCATCCTACGCAAAAAAGGTCATGCATGCCAAAACCTTTTACTTTTTCTTAGGATCCGTCGACCCGTCAGGCGATGGGGGCCTGAGGATGGTGAGTTGTACCAGTTCTGACTCACTGAGTCGTACTCCTGCGCGTGTCCGGAGGCTCCTGCGATTGGACGTGACGCATGGCGAGATTTCGTCGCGTGCGTAACGTGAGAGGGCACGGGGGAAGACCCCTCGCCATCCGTAAAAATCACTATGATCATCATTATTTAAGCCTACCAAAATCTACAGCAGGACACAGGCCTCCCGCATAGATTGATCTCACGCTTGGCAGGCGAGTTGGCAAGCGCATTTTTTTTACTTATTTTAAGTTGTTATCAAGAAGATGCTGCTGTCCATCTCCTGTTTCATTTACCCACTATTGCCTATTACGGAATGACCTTTTGTTTTCACATAATTATTTTAAGATAATAATGCTTTTTTTTAAAAACAGTACAGGAAACGTACTTATCCATGGCGCTTTATAACCGTTACGTGTGCCCTAAAGTATTATTCTTGAAGAACTATCAATAGCGGGCATTATGAAAAAAAAAAAACAAGAAAATATACTTACGTGTGAGAAACAGTTAACTCTGATCCCTTTTTTATAGGCTTCAACGCAATCAACAACATTTTTTTATTTAAATTTATAGCAAATACATTTGGACTGCAAGATTCTTTTAATTTACCAATTAAAGGATACCATCCGTGATTTGGAATTGGATTGAAAAACGCTTTTTTATTTATGATATCTAATACACGGAGATTAACTGGTGTGGGGGGAGCGTAAAGACAAAAGTACATCATGATTCTTGCCAGTGCATTCTTAGCAAGTATCCTTTCATCAATTGATTGAGGAAAATAGCAAGGTATTCTTTCTAAATGATAAATAACTGTAGCACATACAAAACTAGCTGAATACATTGATCCATGTACGAACAACCGATTATCATCAAAATTAAGAACCGAGAACTTATTGTTGACATCGTACATTTCCTGTTCTGAACTGATGCGTATCCTGTCACCACCAGTGCAATGTGAAGATGAAATCACTTTTTTCCATGATCCACACATTTGGACAAATTTTAAAGTGCCTATTATCATCAATTTCGCCATGGGACTAAAAGCTACGTTTTGAATAACCTCCATAATTTGACATTCGATGTTATGGTATTCTTTTAAGCACATTTCTTTGCATTCTTCACTACAAAACAAAACTAAGCAACAATCTTCACATGGTATTAGGTTCAAAGACATTTTATGGCAGTGATGGCAAGAAAATTGTATATTTTCCTCGTTATTACAACTTACAAACGAATCTTCTAAAGCCAGGGGAGTTCCCACTTTAATATCTTTTGCTGCAACTACTTTAAAAGCATCTTCTTTCATAACTTCTATGTTAGAGCTAGCGCAAGGTATGTGGGTATTGCAATTAACATCAAACTTAAAACAATCTTTAAAGTAATCAGTACAAAAATTTACAGTCTTATTTTCTATTTTGCTTAATTTTGTAGCTTCCTTTTTCCTCTTAATAAGCTTACTTTGAATGTCTGTGGGGCAACCCAGTTTATAACAAGTTTCTATGTCAATTAAACAAGCTCTAAATTGTTTCAATTTAAATAAGATTGCTGATCTGTTGCTATAAGCAAGTTTTATCGCTCTTGAATTTTTTGGCGCAAACATCAGAGCTCTATTGTAAAATTCTAGTGCTTTGTTTAAATTTCCTACTTTAAATGCTATATTACCTTCTTCACGATATTTATCAGATCTTTTCTCACATTTGTTTTCTTTTTCCATCTTTGGTAAACTGCCACTTTCCTCAAGTACATAGAGAGCAGCCATAACTACATGAGAGTAATCATCGTTCTCCATTGCTGCGTAGATTTGATTGACAAGACCACGCTCTCTTAAATAATTATTAAAAAATTTGGGCATATGGAACATCTTGCTTCTGAAAACAGAAATCGGTTAATTAAATATTGGTAATGACTTTTAACTTAACGACACGACGTAATTTCGAAATTACATTTCCATTTAACCGAGTAGGTAGTGATATTATAAGAGACAGAATCCATCAACCACCATCAACACTAGGAGTCGCAAAACAATATTCCGGATCTCGAATACACTGGGGCAACGATTAACGAATGGAAACTTGCAGTTCAAAAAACTTTTTACAAAAACAACAAAAATAGTTTTCAAAAAACATAAGGAGAATGATCAAAGTAGAGATGGCTATGGGAAAATGGTAGTGTGACAAGAAATTTCGAGGTAATACAAAAATATTAAAAAAAGGAGATTTAACACTTTACATTTACATTTATTTTCACAACAATTAACAGCCTTACAATAGTACACTGTAGTTCGAGGGGAGGTCAAGAAGTTCACGGAATGACAGAAGAAAATGAAGTAAAAAATTTCTTGAACTATTTTTCGCCTCAATTTGATCGCTCATAACCTTACCTACATTTATTAGACATAACATAGTTACACTTTCTTTCTATTATAAACTCAGATGCTTCATCTGAGATTATAGCATAACACTATTATTCTTTACTCAGTTGCTAATTTGCCATTATTAAATCAAAACGTGAAACAAACACAACGCGTGACGTGTAAACCCTGAGTTTGTGCACTGGCCGAGCCGGTTTAAAGCAGTTTCTAGCTATACCTGAGCGAGTGTTCACGTACACACGCGCCTCAACTTTGTGGTAGTAAACCAATCACAGCGCGGTTGTATGAAGCTTTGCCTTTTGTTGGTTTCTTTACTAGCGTGACTAGGTGCTGCCAGTAATGACAACTGATGTATGGACCGTGTTGTGCAGATATGATCCAACCCACAAACTGGCCAAAATAATAATCCACAAGCTCTTTCTTCAGTTTATTTCCAATAATAAATAACTTCTAAAAAAAAAACTAAGTAATCGCAGAATGATATTTTAGGGTTTCTGATTCTGACACAATAAAAATGCATTTAATCTAAATAACTTTTTGTGTTTGTGGCTTGAAACATTGCTGTACAACACGGTCCTTATGTCCGGGATTTTTTATGATATAGGATGGCGCAGAAGTAATGTCATAATTTGAATAGGCTGCCATTTTGTTAGTAATGAAAATACTCTGGCTCTGTTTTCATTAAAAGTTTATTTAAGATGTAAAATTGATGAAATTAAGTTGAAATAACAATATCAATTAAATGATCACCACTTGAGTTGATGCACATTTGTCCTTGATTTATGATTGCTCGCAAAACCACCACAAGCTCCAAATTGCCGATTTATTCTTCAATTTATTTTTCAAGAATTGCAATATTTGTTGTGATAAACGATCTGGCCGGCCAATTAAATCGCCAAAACGGGATATCTCGCGGCCCGGAAATTGGTGTCCCAAAAACTATCGTTGTTGTCGTTGTGGAGGGTTGCTTCGTCCTGTTGGAACCAACAACACTCGAGACCCAATTCAGCAAATTGCATAAAAAAAACGCTAAACATCTGTCCGAAACGCTCACCAGGTACAGTTACGGTAGTGCCGTCGGCGTCCTCAAAAAACTAAGGGCCAATCACTTTTTCACTGCAAATGCCGCACTTGGTGTATATTTTATTTTGTCAAGCCAATATTATACGCTATTCTCAAAAATTATGGCGTATTCACATTATGACATTACTTCTACGCCACGCCATCCCGTATAAGGTATTTATTAAGGTAAGAAATTTAAAATAGTTTGTCAAATCCACATACAAACCGCCATCTACGAGCAAATCACAATAAGCTAGAGTTGCATAGTAGCACCTCAGACGAAATAAAAATTATTTCGTCTGAAAGTAGCACTGATTAATAGCGGCAGACATCACCAAACTAACTCGATCCGTTCTCACGTTCATTACTTGATATTGTGAAATTATTAGGTTTATGGGACTTAGTACTGGCGTTGAAATTGAGTTTCTAAAAATATGATCTAATTGTGTACATTGCAAAGGTTCCGTATATTTACTACGAACGATCCGCCCCGGCTTCACACAGATGATTTCTGGATCCCATTCAAATACACCCAAAAAGTTTCATCAAAATCGGTTGAGCTGTTTTTTAGTTATAGCGAGACCAACGGACAGCAATCGATTTTTATATACACACTAGCTTGCCAGGCAGACGTTGTTCTGCCCTTTTTGACGATCCTGTCATGTCCTATTAAAAATACTTAAATTCGCAAAAAAAAAATTTGTGGGTCACTCATGGGCAAAAAACTATCCTATCTCTTAAGTTGGACCAAATTGCATACGGTGTGCAAATTTCATTAAAATCGGTTTAATAGTTTAGGAATCCATCGCGGACAAACAACGTGACACGTAATTTATATATATACAATATGCAACGTAATTAACGCACACCCTCAGACACCCCAATCAGTATATTATGTTATAATCATAATACATATACTGAATTTTTAGTTAAACATTTTTATGCGCTGATTATATATCAAATTAGTTATACTAATTCCGGAAGAATGTTGTGGTCACAGTACAACTTGACAGACTTTAACGTGCTCGAAATAAAGTTCATTTTTCTTTATTTTTATTGAATGACAGAATTAGTAATAATACAAATAAAACTGCACTCTTAAAAGTCTTATTGCCTTTAGTTAAGGTCCATTTCAGTTTGTTTTGACTGTACAGATTTAGTGTGACTATAATTTACGTCGTTTTAATTATTTTTGGGATAAAAAAATTACCTAAATTAAAAATGATAGGAATTGATTCAGTAAACGATTCTGAACAAATTACTTTCTCAAAGTGCGTTAATTATGTTACATGTTGTATATTAAGATTTAAGATAGAGATTATAGTAGGCATATTATTCTTTAACTATTTCGATCCGAGGCCGTGTTAGCTCAAGGGCTCGCCGTAAGTTTTATGCATCCAAAGTCAGCCTCAATGAAATTGTTAGTTGCGATATAAAGTGCTCATTTACCACCTGCTCGGTCGAGGAAAAAAATATCCGAAAAACGGTTGACCCTGCAGGCCATCCCTGGAACTTTCCGCAATGTTGGATCTCATAACGCTCGACGAATATTTTACGAACTAGTTAACTCATTACATAAAAAACGATTCGAGCAAAAATTTCAAAGGTTAAAAACGATAACTTTCGAACGGATCAACCGATTTTGATGTAATTGGTGGCAATCGGCGACGTATTTTAAGTTGAATAATAAATCTATTATACAAAAAAAAAAAAACGATTAGACTATAAATTCAAAAGTTCAAAAGTTCGTCATCGATTTCTTTTTAACGCATTAACCGACTTTGAAGCGGTTCACAGCAATCGTCATCGTTTTCCACGTTTAAAAATTGATTAGATTTTGCAATTGATCGTTACATCTGTTTAAGTTATTTCAAAAAAATATTTTTCAGAAAACTTTATTCACATACATATAGTCAAAATGTCGAGATCTGATGAAACCTCCGTTTTCGAAAACTGGGATGATACCAATAACTTTCCGATTTTTTGAACATCATTGATTTTCATAACGGAAAATAAAAATCTACGTACGCACGCACCCACGCACGCACGCACGCACGCACGCGCATGCACGCACACACACACACACACACACACACACACACACACACACACACACACACACACACACACATACGCGCACGCACGCACGCACGAACGCACGCACGCACGCACGCACGCGCACGCGCACACGCACACCCACGCGCACGCGCACACGCTCACGCACACGCTGAAACACACGACCCCACACGAAGTTAAATCTAAACAAAAGTATTACGGAACACGACCAATTTCCGTAAGTTTCACAAGCGGCTCATGTGGTCAGGTAAATGATTCCACGAAGATCTTCTATACATGGTAGAGCTACGGTGCAGCCATATTATGGTAGTAGCACGAATGGGTCGGTTCTACTGGGAAGGACCACGCTCTCACAGAGTACCAGCTTAATACTACTGTGTTTCGTTTGGAAAGATTTGGAGACCCTTTTCTACTGGAAACAAGGCATTCCATCTTAGTCCTCAGAGGTAACAACGCATCTGTGTTGTGATTCTTAATCGAGGATAAATGTAGATGTCTATGGGCCACAGCATCCAATTACCAGGTAGACTGTGTGCTCGTTTGTCACATTTATTCTATTTAAAATAAGATGTTGTGCTGGAAGAAAACTCCTTATATTCTAATATGCTTCTGAAGTCAGTGCTAAAACAAAGCATATCAAAGAACAAAAAGCGTGATAAATTAATCTCAAAATTATTTAAAATAAAATAATATTACTCGATAACATACTTTCTTTACTATAAGAAATTATTCTGGTGGTTAAATGTTAAAAATAATAAATGTGTGAGAGTGGATATTCAACTTGCTCACCTGTTTACTCTTTAAATACAGTTCGACCAGCCTTAATATGTCCCTGCCACAATCACACACTGGTGTAACGTGAAGGACATAATTACGTGATAACACCAAAGTATGCAAGCAAATGGCATCACTACTAATGCAACCCAGGGCGGCCTCTCAGCAACACGATCTTCCTTGCCAACACTAGTAGAATAGCACAACAGGCATAGTAACAACTGTGAGACTCACAGAATCACCGACTCATCCCTCTTATTCGACTGCGCTATACTTTATACTGCCAGAATGCGTGGGAGATTACTGTTCTATCCTCATTTGTTCAAATTTACTTTTATTTTTTCACCCTTATTGCTATCATCAACAGCTAGAATGTTAACTTGGTTTAGCTATTTACTAGCAATGGAATGTCCAATCCCATCTCCAAACTAGATATAACATTCATAGGATAATGTAACAAACTATTGACTTATAACTCAGGTAGAGACTATGGACTTCAGTATGGCACAATCCTAACACACCTTTCTTGCTTCTTTCACATCCTTATATCATTTAATCGGAATCTAGCACTTCAATCA